GTATATATATATATAAAATATAAAACACTGTCTAGACCATGCAGAAGAGATGAAAGTAACTTCACCTCAATTTACAATGGCCCAATATTGTTTTATCCCACGCGTATAACTGCTTATATCACTGAGAGACTATAGCAGCAAATAAATGGGAAGGAAATTTTTTACTCAATGAAATCTGTATAGCTTTAATTTGGAAAATAGTTCTTACTTTTTGATTAAGATTAATTCATCATCACAAATTCTCTCCTGGACCACTTCTTCTGCTTGTCCCAACATTGTAGCTTCAAAAGTTTCTTCACCTTCCAAATTGGCCAGGGTTGACAGAATAGTTGCTATAGGAGTTAAGAAGATCTCTAAATATTGTTTCCCATGATATTAAAGTCTTAAGAAACATTTATGATAAAAGTGATGCATTACAAATTAAAGGTTTACAGCTAATTATCAGATAATTAATAAGAGTTATATTTTATACTAACATGAAACTATATCATTTTGAAGTGAATAAAATCAGTTTATGAATTCCCAACAAACTAAAGAACTTTTCCAGTTCATGAAAAATAGCTCTATATTTATTGTGGACAGTGCTGAGTGTTTTTGAAGCTACTCAGTGCCAGTACTCCAATGTAAGGCTTGTGCCAGGGAATGCATATCAACACAAGGTTTTTTATTCAAGATCTTGCGGTTGTAGTACCTCCAGAAGCTTTAGCAATACGCTTAAGATCCTTTTTCAAAACTCTTCTAACTGCCATGGCGCCAGCCTCCACAAAGTACTTCAGACACATATCATCAATTCCACCAGTGGTCAGAATAACGTTGGCACCAGTTGCCAGGATCTTCTGAATTCTCTCCTTGGTGATATCTGATTCTCTACAGAGAAAGTATTTTCGTTAACTCGTTACTTTCTGTTTTTTAATACTACAACTCTTAACTTCCGTCAAATACTTTTCACAAAGATTAGTGTAGCTCAATTGTACAGTGCTTGCTTAGCATACACAAAGACTTGGGTTCAATTACCAGCACCACAAAATAAAAACTCCAAAATACTTGTATGGTTAGAAAGAAATAGGAGGCCCTGCCTTCAAGAATCTTATAGATTAAAGAGTCTAGATGGCTAAGATGCTGGTGTTTCTAAGCAACAGTAGTATTACCAAATCTCTTTTTACATGGAGTGAGGACTTGAACCCAGGGCCTCATGCATGTTAGGTAAGTACCAAATACTGTACCTCTGAACCATACCCCGCTATCCTTTGAATCTGTATTTTCAAAAGGATGCCAATGTCCATATGAAAGTTGCAGTGGAAAGATTAAGGACTGAAGACAAGGGGACAGTAACTGGAGAGACAGAAGTATCTCTCATGAGGACTCACAGCATGAACGAAAGTCAAACTACAGGCACAGGTAAATGGGAGGTATGGGCTTGGGGCAGGTTGGAAAATAAAGAGCACAGTTTGGGATGTTGTAAGTTTAAAGTCTCTGTTATTCAGGGAAGGCTACAAAGAGGAAGTCAGTATATAAATCATAAGCAACTCTAGTAAGGAAATACAGATTCAAAGTCAATATACAATTGAAGTCATGGAGTAGATGAGATTATTCAAAGATTTTTTTCAAATAGTCAATCATGCATTCATTTTGGTCAATGACAGGCCAAATAAACAACAGTGGTCCTATAAAAAATTATAATGAAGCTGAAAAATCCTTATCACCTACTAGCATTATAGCAGCTATCTTGTCACAATGCAGTGGACACACGTATGTAGTGACGAGTATTATAAACTAATGACACTTATCAGTTGTATTAAAGCACAATCAAGCACAGTACATAAAACTTAAATGATCAAAAACGACTGTTACTCGCCTGTAGACTTACCATACTTATTGCCTCTGCCTCTCAGGTGAGACTACAGACTACAAGTATGTACCACCATACTTAGCTTGTTTATTATTGTATAGAGTACTACTTACTCACCCGGTCTACTAAATAAGTACTGTGTACCAGATACTGAAGAACCAAGGCTACAAAGCCAAAGAAATAATTCCATCTCTATATTCAGAACTCACGTTACAGTTGTATACATAGCAGAAACTGTGTAAGCCCAAGAAGACAAAGACTGGGAATAACCCAGATTGAGGGAAAGCCTCCCCTCTTTAAAGGCATGTTAAGACAGAATTGGCCAAAGGCTTGATAAAGATCAAGAAAAAGGAGGCTGAAGATGTCAACTGACCTTCATGCTAGTGTTATTATTAGTGACCCTGACACTGGAGAAGAGGGATGAAAAAGGGATCGAAAAGTAAAGTCCCAGCAAACATGTTTATATCACTCTTGTGGCACCTGCTTGATAAGAAAGGACAGGGAATAACTATATCAGGTGGATGAGCAAAATGCTTTAAGGACAGGAGAGCTCCAAGTGGAATCCAGCAAAGGAAGAGTTGAGTTAAAGATGCAGTTGTTAAAGAACAATCAATGAAGGAAGGCTCTAAGGGAACAGACTCTGGAAAACATACTGCTGGAGAATTCCCCTATGATAGAAGGAAAGAGTAAAAGAATACACATGCATATAGATTTCGAAGATGGGCAGCATTTCTAGCTTTTGGCAAAGATTTTTTGCAGTCTTTGGTTAGTTGTTTATTCAAAGTAACCAAATAGCAAAAAGTAAATAAATAAATTAAAATAAAAATACACTTCCAAGAAGAAGTAGAGAATAGAACAGCAGATATCAAAGTCTGGGAAGGGTGTGGGGGAGAGATGCAAAAAGTTTAATGGGTACAGGGACAGGAAGAACAACTAACTGCAGAGAGGATTCTGAATGTTCCCAATACAAATAAATGTCTGAGGCAACAGATAATGATTATCCTGGTCTGATCATTACCCAAAGTGAAGCCACACTGCACTCAAATATGTAGTTACTACATGTTAAAAATAATAGTAATAATAATAATAATAAAATGAATGTGGATAAAGTGGAAGAAAGCCGGCAAAATCCCTGGGAGCAAACTACCTTCACAACTAGCTCTTCCTGTATGCCAATCGAGTAACACCATCTGCAGTCCATAGTATCCAGTATACAGTAACAAAAAGTCTGAACTGCTTCTTTGAGGAAATAGGTTCTTGGCTTTTATACCTTTAATCTCAAATCAATTCATAAAGCCAAAAATTCCACAAAAAGTTCAATTTTCACAGAAGTCATAGCACCCCAAATCCCTTTTAAAACATCATCACATTTCCTATTTTTTTCCTAGAGGTTCATGTAGAACAGTTTGATTTGGGTAAATGTTAAGTTTTCCAAAACTCTGATACTTAAAGTCCAGTTCTGTAAATACTATGTTCTGCCACACAGTAAGCCATCAGAATGATGACTGTTCTGTCCTATGAGAAAACTCATTCTTTCCAGTCTACTGTCGCCTGGTTCAACACAAAGGAGTTTTACAAACACTCCTAACAAAGGTAAAAAATCTCTCAATATAGTGCCAGGTGCAGTGATGCGTATCTGTAGTCCTGGCAGAGGAAGGCTGAGGCAGGAGGATCACAAGTTCAAATCCAGCCTCAGCAAAATTGAGTTGCTAAGCAACGCAGTGAGACCCAGTCTTTAAATAAAATACAAAATAAGGCTGGGGATGTGGCTCAGTGGTCTCCAAGAACCTGTGTTCAATCCCCAGTACTAATAGATTAAAAAACAAAACAAAACAACCCCTCAACATACCTCTGTCTAATTTGGTCCAATTTTTCAGGGTCTGTAATAATCACTTGTACACCAAGCTTCATTTTTGTTTTCTGTAGGCTGAAGTCAAGGCAAGCAATTTTTGCATTAACTATTCTCTTGGGCATGCCTATAAGTGAACATAATATTTTGTGATAACTATAACAATATTCAGTTCATATAATACACCTATTCCTAAAATTAAAAGAATAAAAATTATTAAGCCTTAAATATAAAGGCATTAAGGGGAGATAATTTCTTTTAATTTCCACTCATCTTAACTTTTTTTATGTGCTCAAGTTACAAAAGATGTATTTTAACTATAGAAATCTCATTCTATGATTAAATCTCAAACCTTACCCTGAGATCCCACCACACAGTTAAGTGCATAGCCACTGATCAGCATGCTCTCCATCTGACTTCTCCCATGGGCTTTCAGAATATTAACAGAATTGATAGGATAGCGAGGCTGGCCTCTTATATCTGTGTATTTAATAGCAAGTACAGCATCTACTACCATATTAGAGAAGAAATCACCATCTCTAAGCTGATAGTTAAGGATAACAACAGAACGAATGAACAAAGGGTACACATAAAAAAAAAAAAAAAATCAAAGGCAATTGAAAGTGACTTTCTTTTTAGCAATTTCATCAAAGAAAAAATATTTACCAAAGTGGCTTATTACTTATCACCATCCACAATTCATATCACTTACACATGCTTTACATTATATTTTTACCCTTGAAATACAAAGAAAACAACAGGCAATTTCAACACAATGTCATGTCTCTGACAGATTTATCAATTTGCATTAAATTGATATTTAAAACTTTTACTGTTTAAAAAAACCCCCCAAACCTAAATCAGGTTCAATCCCTTGCACTCTACCCACCAAAGGGGTAGGGGTGCTAAACTTTACTTGGATGCAAGGATACATTCCAATAATTTTGGAAGACATGGAAGTCTTAGCAGCATTAATCAGGCAATCTCTTCCAAGTTCATCTGTGTTAATAATTAAGTTTTCACTGATATAGCGCACTGCTTCCCTGTTTAAAGTAATGGACAGAAAAAAAAAAAGCCAATTCAGTACTCAAACCTTTTAATGTTATCACATTAAAAAAGACACTTTTTATATTTATTTTTTAGTTATGAGTGGACACAATATCTTTTTTTTTATTTTTATGTGGTGCTGAGGATCGAACCCAGTGCCTCACATATGCGATGCGAGGCCAGTGCTCTCCTCTGAGCCACAATCCCAGCCCTAATGTTAATCACATGTAACAGTTTCAAAATTTGAAAGGAAAGGACTTTTTGTTCAGCCATTTCATATAGAAGGAGAACACTTGAAAATCCTCCCTCTTCAGATCATGGCAACTTTAATCTATCCCATAAGCATAGCCACTAAAGTCTATTATTAGAAGAAAATGTGGTAGTCATATGGGAAAAAACATTACTGGCTCTAGTTCAAGTGTTACTTGGTTGTTAAAACACAACTTTTTCAAACCAAAATTTAATTATTAATCAAAACGTTAAAACACTATTTATAACTACTGTGTCAAATAAAAAATTCCTGAGAATGCAAACAATCTTACTTGCAAGCAAGTCGATAGCCACTAATAACTGATGTGGGATGAATTTTCTGTTTGACCAATTCATCTGCATTTTTCAGAAGTTCTGCTGCAATAATAACCTGTTGAGAAAACAGTCATGCTAAGATGTCTGGCACTGGATATATCATGCACCCACAAAAGCAACACTAAAGTCGTCAGGTATTATTAACCAGAATGGTGAGTGATGGAGAAATGAATAAGTGGCTATTAAAAATATGAAAAAAGGAAAACATTACAAAATATTCTGTATGTCAATGGCCAAACCCAACAGATGAAAGTCAGAAAAATGTTCTAAGAAACTAGTTCATCAGTAAAACGGAAGACAACAAATACATCTATTACCTTTAGAGATTAAATGCCCAATGGAAGCTAAATTGCTATTGAAATGACTTGGACTGTTTTAGACTTTTGGGTTAACTCCTTTTAAGGAATGCTAAAAATGTCTTTTAATTAGGCTTTTAGAGCTAAGGATATAGTTTGGAGGCAGACTGCTTGCTACATCCAATCATTATGACTGCCTTTTGCATGCAAAATAAATAAATAGTATTTTTTAAAAAAACATATATCATCCTCTCCTTCATTTTTCCCTCCTCCTTTTGGTGGAGTTTGAACCCAGGAGCATTTAACCACTGAGCCATATCCCTAGCCCTACTCCCCCTTTTTTGGGTACAGGGATACTGGGGACTGAACCAAGGGGCACTCAACAACTGAGCCACATCTCAACCCTTTTTTGTATTTTATTTAGAGACAGGGTCTGGCTAAATTGCCAGAGACTGGCTTTGAATTTGTGATCTCCCAGTCTCACAACCTTGCAAGCTGCTGTGATTACAGGTATAGACCACCAGCTGGGTCACGGGGTTCTTTAGATAATTACAATAGCAAAGATTTTAGACATTTCCAAGCCTCAGGTGATGGTAAGAGAAAATACATTTCAGAAGCCATAAAAAAAAAACCCTTATGTATTAATACTAAGAGAAAAAAAAGTCCCCCAAACGTGTGAAATCCAATATTTAAAATGACGCTGAATTTAATTAGTTTGAGTTTCTTTTCTACTTTTATTGCTCAAACTAGCTATAATTATCAAGTTTTGTTTCTGAAGCACTGCTTGAGAAACATACCGTTTTCCTTTTTAAATATATAACTTATTTCTGGCCCACAGCTTCAAATGGGATAAAAATAATTATTCTTTAGCCCCTCTCCCAGGCGACTACCTACCACTGAGGTAGTTCCATCTCCAACTTCTTTGTCCTGCAGATCAGCCAGCTCACAAAGAACTTTAGCAGCAGGATGTTCTACCTCCAGTAACTTCAGGATGGTAGCACCATCGTTTGTAATGGTTACATCCTACGGAAATTTCCAGGAAAAGTGAGGTAAATTCAGATATCCTTATTATGACACATTCATCTTTGATATACTTTCCAATATCAGGTTCTGAAGAAAACAACTTGCAGAAAAAAAAAAACTTCATATCTTTTCTTTTTAGAGCAATCAACACAACAGATATACTTACACCAATATCATCCACCAACATTTTATCCAAGCCAACTGGACCAAGAGAACTCTTAACGATATTGGCAATAGAAGCTGCAGCCATAACTGTAGACAGTTAATGAAAAAAGTACAGTAAAATCAGAAATGCACAGCTCTAAAGGACAGTCATCTCACCCACAGAAGCACAATAACATCTCACAAGCTCCAAACTGCTCGGTTCTACAAACGCGTCCTAAGGAAGGGGACGGGCAAATTTCGTCCTGAGCGTAGGAGGGACGTCCCGTTTTTAAGGGTTCGCTGTCCGGCTGGGTGATCAGGCCCCGAGCGCCAGCGGCGTCCCGTTATTCTACGGCAGTCGCCGAGGGTCGGGGCGACTTCCGCGGGAACACGTCGCCCCGAACTACGCGGGCACTCGCCCGCCTGCAGTTCCGACCGGGCCTAGTCGCTGGTGGACGATCCCCGACGGACAAAAGGGGGCGCGGGCGGCGGGCACGTGTCTCCGCACCGCTCCCGCGAGTTGGGA